AAAGTAAGAAGGGTGGCCAAGCCTCCTTACATACTCAGGGCACCACGTCACCTTCAGAGGACAGCCACGAAGGTCTCTGAGGAAGTGCCCCAGAGACTGGCACTGTGTGTGTTTGGGGTTGGGGGGGTTGGTGGCTGTCAGGGGTCTCTTTTCCCTGTGTTGGATTTGATAAGGTTTTGTTTCCTTTACAGTTGAAAATAGAGTTTTTCCAAGCTCGCCGTTTTTCCTTTTCTTTTCTTTTTGTATATTTTCCCCAGCTTTTTTGAAATACAGTTGATAAAATCACCCCGTACTTAAAGCGTGCAACATGATGGCCGGACCTGCTTCTTGTTTTTCGGACTCTAAATCTATGGCCTGCTCATGGTAGAAAACCTCAAATGTAGGGAAATGAACAGCACAGGTGGGGTGGGAATGACACCTAACAAACACCCCGAAGGGCCCTCACACTCCTGGACCAGCCGGGAAGGACCTTCCGTGAGAACCACCAGGCCTGGCCCGTGGCCACCCACCTGCTTGATGAGCATGTAGGTCTCAGACATGATCCTCTCGATGCGGCCCAGGTCGTAGGCCATGCCCTTCTGGCCCTGCTGCCACACTCGGTAGGCGTCCAGCAGGAGCGTCTTGCCCGACTCTGTGTCCTCTAGGAGCTTCCTCTTTCTGCTGGGCCGTGTGGGTGGCTCCTCGGGGTGACTGCCCACTCTGGCCCCGGTGGTGGCAGCAGGGGTAGTGGCTGGGGCTGGCTGGGCTGGTGTGAGCGGGCTGGGCTGCTGGCGGGCACTGATGCTCAGCTCCTCCAGAGACAGCTCAGTGGGCCGGCTCTCGGGGCCCCGGTCCCTGGGGGGTCGGCCTGGCTGCGGGGGCGGCGCCCGTTCGGAGTCTGAGCAGCGAGTGGTGGCCTCACCCGTGTCCATAGGCTCGGTAGGCCCTGCCCGGGGGCTCTCCCTGTCTTTTCGCTCCCCAGACTGGTCTGCACTGTCTCCTGCCTCCATGGTCACGGGCCGGTGGTTGAGGGGGCCCACTTTGCCCCCTGGCTCGCCTGCTGGCCCTGAGCCATCAGCCAGAGGGGGCTTCTTTGAGTGGGGGAGGGCCTCTTGACTGTCCTCGGGACTGGCCTTGTGGGGG